TCAACCTGTTAAATCGAGTTCGTCATTGAATAGAATTTGCCAATATTTATATATCACAATTGTGCACATTGACTTTCGTTTCCCCGGAGGAAAATAATTAATAAATACATGAATAAACCTGTGAAACACACCAATATTCCCCTTCGTATAACTAAGTCCTTGCCTCCTAATTCCTGTCTAGAAATTCTGCCCTTACATCAGGCATCCATAGCATTGTGTTTTAAGGTACTTGCTCTCTTTGGGGAAAACCTATTCTAGTGACAGGGTCTAAATATGGTAGACGTAAACTGAAGGAAGACATGATGCCAGTATTACAAGCAGGCTAACATAGGAAGCCGAGTTTGGGCTGGGGCTACATATTGTATACATCACAAGGTATTTAATATCTAATATACAGGATAGGCCAAAAAAAAACAAAGCTATCATTTTTTCTGAGTCGTCAATCTCATTGTAGGCTGCATATTTGAATTAAAATGGATTTGCCTATAGGGGAACACATTTGGAGTTTGTATGGGAGCGTATCAAAATACTGAACAGCTATTCATTGAAATTCATATCGCCGAAAACTCGAAATATCGATTAATCAAATGGACGAAATTCTAAACATCGAATAAATTGGCCGAAAGCAAATTTCGCCGAAGCAAAATCTTTTCGATGAAAGCTGATTTTCGTCAAACGATTGAAATGCCAGAATATACCAATTTTTGAATCATGGTTTTCATTGCAAAGTCAAGGTCAAATGGTCGAATGTGAAAGACACGGATATTTGCACTCATCTCAGAGAAACATTATAGGATAGACCTCTCAAGAATGACATTTTGCAGCGATCCCCATAGGTACGCGTGATTGTCAGAATTCTGTTGTTCTTGTCAATCTCTGCTTTCTTTTTCCCTGGAATGTGGTCCGCTTCCAACTTCAAAATGACATGCTCTGTCACTTACTGTTCTACTTTAATAAAAGGTTGTCCTACAGCTAGGAGCAAACAGGTGAAGAAATATTGAGGGAATAATAAAAAAAATCATAAACCTAGCGTGCTAAGTCTATAAGGCTGAATGATTCCTCAGTGCCTCACCTTGTTCTTCAAGAAGATATATCCATGTATCACCAACATATCCTGCCCTCGTTGAGACTTGATTATTTCAGACATAATTCAAATGCAAAATCCACAGCAGGATGCAACCAGACAGTAAACAGGGCACAACTGACTAGACACATGACTCGAGACGGTCCAAAAAAAGAAAATGAACCGGTATTTCTTTCGGCCTTGTAAGCCTTTGGCGAATTGAGCCTTTCGATCTCCAGACACTTCTATGAATGAATCCTTGGATGTATGGTCGCGTTCGCGTAACCGTTTTTCGACCAAATGTCTATTCGTCGATATAAGTTTCGATTATTCCATACCAACCAGTTTGTATACCAGTTCCAATTCATCTGGCTGAAAAAATATAGGATTTATTATTATTTTCTGACGACCAACGACAAAATTGGCTGCGGAAAATATCGATAGAACCTTGAGACCGGGATGAAAGGGAGGTCCGAATTCATTAACCTTCGATTCCTGCATGATGCTACAAAGGAAAATTGTGGGGGTACTACCTCAAAGGTTTAATGACCAGACTCATTGATCTGAGGTGTCCCAGACTAGGAGCTTCTCTTCAACAGGATGTAGAGGACATTGAGCACCTTTTCAATTGAATCATACGTCCCTAAGCGAAATTGTGTGCTTTCGAGTTTGACATTAGTTCATCTGTTTCTGTTCTGTTTGTTTAATTGTTTGTTTTTGTTAGTTGTGAGAATTTATAAGCTGAAAGAAAAAATAAACACTTACTTTTTGGTGACGAAAAGGAAATTAAAACCCAATCACAAAGTTTTTAGAATTTATATTTGAAACTTGGCACACAAACGATAATTGAGTCACCCTACGTGAATACCGAATGCCATTAAAATCGGCCACATAAAATCAGATGGACAACTTGCCAAAATTCAGCCTTGTTTTACTTTTTAGCCTACCCTGTATTAAGACGACCATGACTGACTGACGCTAATTCAAACCATGGTCTAGAGAAGTTATAAATCTGAAACTTGGCACACGTACCTTTTGGGATGTAGATTTTAGGAAAATCCGCCTTTTTAGGTACATGCCCTGCGGGCATCCATTTTGGGGAGTGATGGTTTTCAATATTGTTTTTTTTTTGTCATACCAAATCGGGCAGAGATAGAAATGTGAAACTTGATACAGAAGTACTATTTTGAACCTTCAAATCAGACAAATGCATACTTTGGAGGAAAATTCCCTAGGTGCACAAATTCCAGGGGAGATTGTTTTAATATTAGTTTTTTTTTCCTATCAAACGAATGAACTTGGAAAGCAGAAATGTGATAGAGATATGCCTACTAGGTCGCTGAGTTTTCGTAAAAAGACAAGTTTCGGATGCATGACTTAATGTATATACCAAGTACATATTCCACTTTTCAAATAAGACCCATTGGTACAGATTATTAGGAGATTTGGAGTTAGGCACACAATAAATAATTGGAGTTATTATTTCGAAGGAATATCGCTTCGTTCTCTTTCGGCACTCATTTTGACGGGCACATACTTATAATACTTTTTTGCAACTTTGAAAATGAATTATTGAATGAATAAATAACCTGGATAATGGAGTGCCGAATGCTCGACTATTGCGAGTTTGTTTGCCCGAAGGGAAAACAAACTCCCTAGTACAGTATACAGACGATTGTGATTTGCTGACAGAATGAATGACTGACGCTAATTATAACCTTATTTTAGACGAGGCTGAAATTTGGTACATGGATAGCCGTTCGATTGCGCACTACAGAAAAAACTCCTACATGGGTGGTAAATGCCGAAGGAGCTCATTGCGAGACGGACTAATTTTGCAGGCCTAGGCTTAACCCACGAAGAACGCTAAGGCTTACACTAATTTCATGTCTTTTCCTTCAAGGATAAGGGAAGGAAAACAAATAGCTTTCGGATTACATACTGCAGATGAAGTTCCTCTTAGCTCTAACCCTCGGAGAGACATTCAGGTTCACAAAATCTCGAGCCATTTATATGCAGGAACTTCTCGGCCTATTGGATCAAGAATCATGCTTCCTCAGCCTAAGGTGTGAGGCTATTTGGCCTATGCCTTTTTTGGTTCTTCATGGATTAGGTGAGAAGGGATGGGTTGATGTTCATCAGTACGCTACGCTTGTGGATGCGATTGGCTTACATATACAGAGTGGCTTAATAAAACGCAAGTTTGACGTTAATATGCTGTAAATATGGCTTCAGTGCCTTGAATTGAGCAAGCTTTTAGTAGACATGAAATAAGAAATTTTTAGCAGATAAAAAATGTTATATTAAAATATCACGAACTTTTTGTTTCACCCCTTCAGCCCTTCCACGGAAATCCTCTCAGTCCCATTTCCTAGACTTCCAAAGCCTAACTTATTGTCCTGCTGGACATACATTTTCCCTAGAAATAAATGATTGTTTTATTGTTTGACAAATATTCTCCGCTGAAGCTTTCTTTTACCATCCAACATCCAGCACAAAATACGCCGACAAAATTCGAAAACGATTTCTCTAATGTAACAATCGGTTGCAATGGAGAGTGGACGAGTGAAATGGAATGACTAATTCTGCTCCACAATTGCAAACACTGTGTAGTGAAGAGTTAAGAGGGTATGACATGAATCACAGTAAGACTTAATGTGGTGACTTAATGTGCCTAAAAGCTTCCCTAGCTTGGTTTTTTTATTTCCTGCTCTAAAAGTGTTCATTTACTTTTTACACAATGAGAGAGTACGCTTTTGATTCGGATTGAAATTCAATATGGGTGACGCATCAAAATGATCATTGCTCTGTTCCTCGAAGTAAATTCGTCAATAGCTTGATGCATTTGGTCGAGGCATGTGATACCTTCTCTATGCCAAGCCTTCAGTCATTACCTTCAGCGTTTGGACCTTTGGTTACTATTTCTCCTAGGCCAACCTCGTCAGGATACAATCAATAGTATTTGGTAGCTCATATTAGTTCCTTCAACCCCTTCACGTAACAAAATTCAAACTCCTCGTATCTGAGATACGAGGAGTTTGAATCTCTGAGAGCATCAACAGGAACGAAATTGAATATGTTCCTTCCTCTCTCAACACAGAATCACGCCTGCAAATTTCAAGCTCCACCTCCCTGGCGTTGTGGAGAACACACAATCTCTCTCTCGAATGAGAATTTCGTTCCAATTCTTTTTCTTCGCCCCCCCCCTCCCCCCGTGTAGCTACTCCTAGGGGTGAGTTTATGAGATGAGCTGAGAATGATGCGGTGCTTAGCATTGATTGGTAAATGTGGTGTGATATGGAGCAATTTTATCCGGACATCCCTGAAGTAACAAGATGGTGGGCATCATGGATTTCATGCTTCCTAGAGGCATTCTCTCCTCAGACCTATTCGCGATGGCTTGAGGAACTCCAGATAGGTCAAACGTTCCACGTCCCACTAAAGTGATTCATGAAACGCGACAAATGCCTCAAATCGGTCTAACGTTATACGTACTCTGAAATGGTTTGTGAAAGTATGAATAGGCCTGCGATTGGCCTAACTTTACACGTCCTCAGCGAGATGTCTCGAAGACCCCAGATTCACTCTAACAGGGCTAATTGCCGGTAAGTCGAGAATTGAGATTGCAAATAAAAAAAGGTAGGGCTTGGCGTAACCAGAAGATAGTCTGCGGGTAAGGCTTAGGCCTAACGTTAGTGAGTCCTGTAAGGAGAGAGAGGGGGTAGAAGAATAAGGAAGCCCTTGAAAATGCGTTTTAACATTACTTCATATCACATTGAGCTGGTACCTCAGATGATACAGGGGCAGCGCAGTGACTAGGATGTTTCATATTCCACAATTTTCCGCAGATTTCAATTCTATTTTTCTTTCTCACCAGCATCAACGGGAAATGTGGGGTATGCCTTTCTCTTTTTGCGCGATTGGATAATGTAAGGAACTATCCGAACATTCCTCGACCAGTGGAAGATCGCATGATGGAATTCACCATGTGCTCGTATTGTAATTGGGAATAATGCGTCTTCAGAAAGAAAGGGGATGCTGCCATGAATAGCCAAGGACATTCAGTAACTGCCTTGAAGGGAAAGGGGAGGTCTGTCTCGTTCTTTGTTCCCTTCATTCCGTGAGACGGGCTGAGTCTCCTATCTATAATATTTCTTTCATCCCGCTCAGCTGCGGCTTCGTATCTGTTCACGTGCCGACTCGTGTGGTAGCGTTTGACTGTTGAGTTTTTGTAAGCCTGGGTCTTGCTCAGCCCTGGTCCAGCAGATCAACCAGGTAAACTGCCGAATTAAAGAATCACCGTGATGCATGCACAGTAATTTCTTAATATATAATCTCTCACTACAATCTGAACATTTTTTCCTTCACCCGCGGACATTACGAAGGAATAGTATGCTCCAGCTCTCTCGGCATAAGCAAGAGCCTCAGGAACTTGATAATCTGATGATATAATCTTCATAGTCTCTACAGTCTCTATAGCGCCTCTATTTGGCATTTCCTTCCCAGCATTTCAATGACTTGGCATACAGGTTTAATACCCCTGAGAGTAAAAGTAGCAACTATCCGCCATGGCTACTTCAGGTTGCATACGGTTTCTTCGAGAGTGCAATGTGAAAGTAAAGCTAACGTGGGAAGAAATTGTCAGCTTGTGTTCGCATAAAATTAAGTTCAATGTAAGTCAAAATGGTGGAAATCGAGCAATTCGTACAAAAGCCTATCAAATGTTATATTTTAGACATTTTTTAGCTTCAGACCCTTTAAATTGGCTCATGGGTAATCCCACAAAGTTGCACATATAGCAAGTACTAGCGAGTTTGTTTGCCCGGAGGGCAAACAAACTCGCTATGGTCGCGCTTTCGACGCTCCATTACCTTGGAATGTGATTAATAAATTTATTCTTTGTGAAATGGCAAACATGTATTTAAAGTACGTCCCCATTGAAATACGTGACATCTGGGGACGAAAGTCTTGATTTTTTAAATCAAAATCATTACTTCTATGATTTCTGGTGTGTCTAGCTTGAAATATTTTCTTGTGTCCCTTTTTGTAAGGTTGGAGAATTCATTTTTTAATACTTCTCTCCTAGAATCTATGCTTAGGGGACATATTTCAAAAGTAGGAATTTTCCTGTACTCAGCCATCAAATAGGTACTTCTGAGGGATTTTGAATTTTCTGTCTGTTTCAGTGGCTTAAAAAAAGTGCCATGATGGGTTTTAACGAAAAATTTTTTTCTTCTGAAATGTAGACTCAGGGAACTGCATGTCACACAGTTTCAGCCTCATACGTTTCCCCTTTTTACTGGCGCTAAAAAAAAGTATTTGAAAAAGCGACCCACAGAAAAGATGTCCTCTGAGGAGACGTATAAAAAAAGTTTAAATTTCCTTAAATCAACATTATGACAGTGATGTATGCGCCAGCTACTTTTCTATGTCAGCACAGTGAACTGCATGACCACAAAGTTTCAATATTTTACGTTTGCCCTTTTCGCTGGTGAAAAAACATGCTTGGAAAGCCGACCCACCCAAAAGCTATGGCGGGAGGGGTTGCCCCATGGAAGCTGAATACCTCAGCTTAGTAACATCATGTCACGTATACGTGGCCAAGTTTCACCTTTCCATGCCGTGAAATTCGCCACAACAATTTTTTTCTTCAAAACTTCGCCCCTCGAAAAAAATTCCCCCAGGGGATATATCGAGACTTAACATTTTTATTTAACTCTTAGTCTTAGTAGTCACATTCATGCAAAGTTTCAGCTTTCCATGTTTATCAGTTTAACTGATGCAATCAATTAGTTGAAATCATCTTCCTTTGAAACTTGTGCCCCCGTGGCATTAACTTCCAAAGTCGGAATTTTTTTGCAGTATCTCAATAGGTAGTTATGTACCCATTTTCATCTTTCCACACTTGCTCAATACGCCACGACAAAAATAAAATACTTGAAAACGTCGGCTGAGAAAAATATGCCCCAAGAGTATGGGTCTAAATTTTTCATTTTTCCATCGTTTCGGTAGGCACTTCCATGCCAAGTTTCAGCTTTCCATATATCTCCGTTTTACTCAATCAAAAATAATGTTATGGTGGGGAATGAGAAACGGGACATGGAAGTCAAAAAAGCAAAGGAATGGACGAGAATTGAACCTGGACCTTCTGATTGCTAGTCAGTTATAATACTACTACAACATCGAACCCCGCTCATCTAGTTGTCTGTCTGAATGCCATCCTCATCTGTCACAAAATATATTGAAGAAAAACGTTTCCCCCCAAAATTTGTACCCCAGGGCATGTACTTCCAAAGTGGGACCTTTTCTGAACTCTGCATACCAAAAGGTACATGTGAACCAAGTTTCAGAGTCCTAACCCTTCTAGAACATAGTGAGAATTAGCGTCAGTCAGTCACGATCGTCTATATATATTAGATAATAAAAAGTAAATTTTTTCTTTACTCAGCTATACATCAGGTTCTTCTTTGCCAAGTTCAAACTTTCTTGTGCCCTCTGTTTTGCTGGATCAGAAAATTTGGGAAAATACGTCTTTTGCAATGTATGTGCCCTGAGCCGTTTTAACCGAAATGTACTATTTTTTAAATTCCGAAATCCATCTTCAGTGAACTACATGCCCACAAACTTTCAATATTATATGTTTGTCCTTTTCGCTTGTGAAAAAGCATGTTTGGAAATGCCGACCCAACGAAAACCTATGCCCGGAGGGGATGCACCATGAAAGCTGAATTCTCCTTCAGCTCAGCAATATCATGTCACTTATACACGTGCCAAGTTTCACCTTTCCATTTCTTTCCAATTCGCCACGGCATTTTTTTTCTACAAAACATCGCCCCTCGAAAAAATTCCCCCAAGGGATGCATCAAGACTTAACATTTTCTTTAACTCCTTTGCTCGGTAGTCATATGTATGCAATGTTTCAGCTTTCCATGTTCATCAGTTTAAACTAGTCGAAGCCCGGATCCTCCGGGTCTAACCTTTATGGCTTTCGTACACATGAAATATCCTGCTCGCATGGCTTATGTGCACACGAACTACCCTGTACACTGCACTGTATAAAATTGCAGCGCTTAGGATGCACGACTTGGCCGATAAAATGACTCTGAAATGGTTACTTTAGACCTCTAATATCACAAAGGCGAAAGGTCACATCGAAAAATGAACTTGTCTGGCGAACTCAGGCTGTTGAATGACTCCTACTCACAAAGAAGCATATTATTTGGATGAAATATGACCCTGGTGACCCTAGGCGGCCCAGTGATTACCCTGTACACACGGGCTAATTAGCAATTTTTTTGTTTCATTTTATATAGCATCGAGTGTGGAAATTCTCCACGACCTGGAATGTAAAATTGCAAGGCTTGGAGTGCACGGCTTGGCCGGGAAAATGACCCTGAATTGTTGACCTTTGACCTCTAATATCTCAAAGGTGAAAGGTCATGAAGAAAAATGGACCTGACTGGCGAACTGAGGCTGCTGAATGATTCCTACACAAAAAAAATCGTATTATTTGAACGAAAAATGACCGTGGTAACCCAAGGTGGCCCAGCGACCCACCGGTGGCAGGGCCACCAAACTCCGTCGTCATGATGCCCCACCCCTAGGAAGCCTAAGTTTAAAGTTTCAGGGTCAGGGATCAAACCGTCTAGGAGAAGCGACTACGCACAGACACTTACGCTCATTAGTAGGGTAGATGAGTGTCGGTGTGTCCTCAATATTCGTCTGGATCCAATCGACAAACCTGAAGTAATAAAATGGAGAAGACCAAAATGAGTTTATATCCGTAATGAAGGAGGGGAAGGAAGGGCATATACGAATGGGGAGAAAAAGACGAGGGGATGAATTGTGACCTGACCGATTGACTCTAGTGAAAATGGAGTATTGGCCTGGGCGCCTCATGGAACAAGGCTCATCGAAGAAGAAATGACTCACAATTCCTTCCACCTGCCATCGCCTCAACGCATTGATGTAGAAGACCATGGGACTGCCTGAATCCCCACGACAGGCCGCTTGGAAATCTACAAGTCAAATTTCATTTACTTATTCCATATTGGCGTTGTGAATGGATAACTTTTGAAAGAAAGTAAATTTTGTGATTCTGTGACCAGAATCCTCACTCCGATATGACCCAATCTGCACACCGCTGCTGCCTCAATGTTTCAAAAGTATGTTTGAGTTTATGCGAATAAATTGTGGAGAAACACTGAATTTGCTGTAGTTGTTACCAATAATCTAGAGCATTTTAATTAGCAGAGTATATATGTAGATACATGTTTTGATACACTATATACATATATTCCCTTAAATACGAGCGTGCATCAAAATAGTAACGGCCGATAATTTTTTCCTTCCATGTCATTCTATTCACGACAAAATGCTTTGGAGGGTAGATGCAACCATTTGTCATTCATGCCAGCATGCATTAATTTTATCGTTTCCAAAGAGAGTGTAAGCACCCCAGAGATTTGAATATGACGGTACCATTGGAGACATGCAACAAAATTGAACAGCGAGATCTTCTTCGTTTTCTATGGTTTGAGGGTTTTGGTTCCATGCCAAAACATCGAAGAAATGAAACGTTCACCATGTTTTTTTTCCCTCGGAGGAAGTCCTGTCTAGACGTGAGCCCTAGGTGAGGCTCAGGGTTTTTTTTCAGAAAACAATCAGTGATGTCATGAGACTTCCAAGAGGATCATCAGGTAAGAACACAGTGCGTTAGTTTGTGTTCCTATAGTGAATTTAATTCCTCTCTATTATCGACACTCTTCTTTGCATCATAAATCTTCAAAAATTAATAATACCAGACACATGAGCTCGTTACGTTAGGGTTTCAACGCAATTATCCTTGGTAGATTAGGTTGAATACATGGGTAGTTTTTTCAATGCATTTAAATCTTCATTTGGGCACAAGGACTCTAATGAAGTCCCTTTTCTAAACTCATTCTCAGGTTACATACAACTACCCTTGAAAAAATGTCATTCCATAAACGTAGCTCATAGCTATTCACGTTCCCGTTTCGCTGAAGGAAATGTGTGGATAGAAATGTCATTAGCCTCCGTAAGTCGAATGGTTAGTTACGCTAAATTGCAATTTCGAGGGAAAACCTTCCTATCAGTTTCCCATCTGGTAAAATGCGACTCATTCGCATCTAGAAGCGTACCAATACACGTCAACAAGTATCCTTCCACCTGGCCTATGACCTATAAAGACAGGTCAAACGACATTGTGCCTTAGGCTAAGGTAATAAGGTCATTCCTGGCCAAATCGACCAGCGAGTGAGCTCGATCATCTTGGAATTTTACAAAAAATCTGCATACATGTAGAGGAATGGATTTGGAAAAACTAATTCCAACCACCACCGATTTCCAGATATTTGCATTTTAATTTGACATTTTTCGCTCCCAGCGCCCATACAGACTGGAATTGTGAAACTGTTTCTGCAATAACTTTCCCTCTTGTTAAGATATAAGGGTAAGTCAACAGTGTCGGATGTGACATTCGGAGTAATATTTTTAGTATACAAAATGTATTTAACTATATTGTGGATGACGAATCAGCATATGAAGGCTATGACAATTTGCTTTGGGTGGTGACTGAAAATTCCATAATTTAAAAAAGTCTTGCACTCTCTTTTGTTAGAGGTGCATGGAAAAGTGTCAGATGTGACTCTTCGTGAACCTCAAGTTAAAATCACTTGCACTAATATTGACCTATCTGTCATGAAGCGGATCGTAATAATATAGTTTCATGTTCATTTTATAGATTGAATGAAAGCCTGGAATTGATGTAAGTCACATCAAGATGACAACACTTGAAACAGAAAGCATGCCTATTTTGTGACGGTGTCGGATGTGACAGGAGAATGTGGGATGTGACATGTTCTGAAAATGTATTTTGAAACGAGAAGTCTGTACATATATATTTCTTTTATTTTAAAGATATCATTCAAATGTGAACAATTGACACATCTACTCTTCACACCTGAGCTGATTTGGAATTATCAGTATGCATGGAAAGCCATGCTGGCATCTTTTCCAGTTGTCTGATTTAGTCTCTCCATATTTGCATTTTCATAACATTTTTGAGTATCATGGGAATGGTATGAATATTATAACATAATTATGACTAATTATATTTCATTTTCAATGTAATATTTTCTTTCTTTCGTGTCTTCTGGGAAAAGAGATGATGAACCTCTGTAGCGAAAGTAATATTTGCATATTTAAGAAAATTTCCGGCTAAAATGCTAGGACCACTTGGCGTGGACATACTCATAAGCTTCATTCTGTTGTCTTTTTAATTGTGAGATTGCCGTATTTAAATTGATTCCAGGCACTATTCTCCTAAGCTAAAACAAGAAGATTCACCTGATCAAACAGATTGACCAAGGCCAATATCGGCACTTGCCACCTCGGGAATTCGCTTTCTAATATTTCCTTCAAAAGTCCATGGTATGCCATTTCTATGAGATTGGCACTCTTGCAATTCTTTGAGATTGTCACTCAATGGCTTGACGAGTTATGAATATTTGTTTGTCGCACCAGTGCCAAAAATTCCACTTGTGCGAGTATTTTCACCGACTTCAGTGACCGACACCTGCACTTTCCACTCCATGAATCTGAACTTATAGGGTGATCGGAAAGTTTGGAGGCACCTTTTTTTTGGAGACACAAATTTTCATGCTGGGTAACACTGACCTGAGGCTCCAGGAAGGACCAAATACTGTAGTCCATTGGATTTAAATCAGGGGAGCTGAAGGGGCCAATATTCTGGACCAATGAAACATTCACTTGAAATGCCATGTTTCATTGGTTCAGAATGTTGGCCCCTTCTGCTTCCCTGATTTAAATCCAATCGACTACAGTATATGATCCATTTTGGAGGCACAGGTCAGTGCTACCCGGCATAAAAATTTGGACAGTCTCAAGGCGGCTTTGTTGAAGAGGTGGGAGGAAATCCCTGTAAGATACCTTTGAGAAACCGAGAACAATTTTACAAAACGCCTTAGAAAAGTTTTTGCTGCCAATGCGAGATATTTCAAATATGTTTAACCCATTTTGAAGATTCTTAATACTCTTTCTAATGAAATGAAGAAATATATTCTTGCTTTTCTTTACATCAAAATATTGTTATTTTTGGATGTCTCCAAACTTTCTGGTCACCCTTTACAATACAACATTGAAAAATGCCTGCTATACCCCTATGTATCACTAAAGTCGGTCAAAATGTTCGAACAAATGGAATTTTGCCACTACTGCCACTGACAAATATTTATATCTCATTGAGTGCCAATATCAATTTTTGTATCGTCAGAAATGATATACCATGCCCTTTTAAAGGAAATATTGGAAAAAGGAATTCCTGAGGTGGCAAGTGTCGATATTAGTCACTGAACTTGGTCAAACTATGTGATCAATTGAAACTCCTTGTTTTAGCTTAGGAGTATAGCGCCTGAGATCAATTTAAAGACCGCAATCTCACAATTAAAGATACCAAAATGAAGCATAAATCTTAACAAGAGGGGGAGTTCTTGAAGAAACCGTTTTATAATTACAGTCATTATGGGCGCAGGGAGCGAAAAGTAGGTTTCATTAATATGCATGCATCTGTAGATCTGTATGAGAGATTTAAAAAAGTTGATCGAAGTTGGTCTATTTAAATCGATTCCTCTACTTGTTTGCTGATTTTCGCCAAAATCCGAGATGATCGAACTCACTCGCTGGTCGATTTGGCCTGGAATGATTCCGAAGGATTCTTAATCAGAGAGGCCAAAAAGTTCCTTGACGGGAATGGGTCATGGGAAGCTTAATATCTCGAGAAGTGTTTTTGCCGGTATGCAGTAGTATTTTAACCGGATTATCAAGCCATGGTTCAGGAGGAGGGAAGCAGCGACACTTGCTGAGCTATAACCCTTGCGACATTGCGGGTTTCAGCTATGGGATGTTCGAAAAGAACTGGGACCCGTGACGGTGTAATTCATTTTTTTCCAGTGAATAATGGCTGAAATGACATATTCACCGGAAGAAATCATCTTCTGTGTCTATTTACATTCGAAGTAAGAGGTTTACTGCAACCCAACATGAATTTGAAGAAAGGTATGGAGAAAAAACAGGTGGATCAATAATGCACGATCAATTGACCCAAGAGTGTGCTAAATGATTTCCTTCAATTGTTCAAGACTGCGAGGATTATTTGGAAACACCGAGTTTTTCCAAATGGTCTTGGGAACTAAGGTGTGGGAATCGATGTGGCCATAATATCGCTGAATTAAGGAGTCAAATAATATTATATTCCAGCCTTGCCATTGTTACCCGAGTTGTGTGGGCCGTGGTGTTATTCTGTTGAAACCATATGAGCTTGCGTTCGCTATCATTCAGTATAGCTACACATTTTTCAACCATGTCGATGCAGCGTTCCGGAGTCAAATTTTCTCTAAAAAATGTGATGAAAATTCTCTTCCTTGATATTGCGCACCGCTTGCTTTTCATATTACCAGTTTCACAAAATGTGACGCATAGACGCTTGATGTTCGATTTATGTGGAATTGTTTTTTTTTTCCCATGCCATTCTTCAAAATCATGTTGTGTCGCAGTATACCTCTAACATTGAATGGAACTAGACACTAAGGACATTCTCTCTTCAAGTGAATATCTCGTTTCAGACATTGTTCATCTGAAAAAAAATAATTATACAGCCATGGATTGCTGTAGTTTTTGAACACCCAGTTGTTCTTTGAATTTCGGCAGCATTGAAATTCTCAACTGCAGGAAACGCATCACTTATCGCTGTTTAATGTTTGGTGCATATATCCATCAGTACAGTCATTTTCTAATCTTTGTGCGCCTATCCTCTCGTGGCATATGATAATATCAATGCGCGTTAACATCAGTGACAAACAGTAAAATCTTTGAAAAGTACTTGGTCGAGCAGAGAAAGAAAAGTGAGAAAATGAATTATCGGTCGTTACTTGTTGATCAACCATTGTATATCATACTAGCAAGTTTGTTTGCCCTTCATGCCGATTTACTCGCTATGGTCGCGCCTTCTTTATCTAGGATGAAATTAATTCATTAATAAAATACATTCTTATATATTTGGTAAAACTCCGGTGGCAATAGGCATATTTATTGCTGTCAAGTTACTTCCTGTTATGAGATGTCATTAGCAAACTAACAAACGAAAACCTGCAGCTTATTAAAATATTCGTATCGAGAGGTATTCCTGTACGAAATTTTAGCTATCTTTACCCGCTTTTTTTTAGTTGAACATTTTTTGGAAGCGTGCTGGAAGAAAAAAATTTCAGTAGCATTGAAATATAATTTTAAAAGCAATATTTTCCCGGGAATTCCCTTTTCAAGAAAATCTTGATGGTATTTCAGTTTTCTACATCTGCCTTTTCACTGAAACAATATTTTTAAGCAGAAAATGTCTTCAAACCAGTTCCCCCAAAACTGCTGGATTGTCAAATATCGCTTATCTATTTTTCCACTTTGAAGCTTCTTGCAGCGAAAATGTCTTCGGTGGAAAATTTTGCAAGAAAAAGCCTTTCATGAAAAACCACACAACTAATAATATTCGTAATATTGCAATCGAGAACTCGAGAATCGAGAGGAATGTGTACTAAATTTCAGCATTCAATAAATACATTTTTCGAAGTAGCAAAACCTTTAAAGTGCGTCCTCATTAAAATATGTGCTATGAGTGGACGTCAATTTTTTTATCGAATTTTTTTGAAAATTGAAATCATTACTCCGATGATGTCTTGTGTGCCTAACCTCAGATCTATTCATATTCCTTATTTGTTAGAGCAAAAAAAAAATTTAATTGTTTCCCTCCTATAGACCTCCCCGAGCGGACACATGAGAGGCATTTTACGCATTAGTATAGAGCTATATATCCGCGGGTGAGATGGAAGCCTCACCATCATTTTACTACGTCACCAAAAAACTTATTCGACGCAAAAAATAACTTATTCCCATAGACCGTGTTACGTTATCAAACACCCCTCGAACTTCAAAAGTTTTTCTTTTCCTATAATCATTATTCCGACAGTTACTCCTGCTCCTATTCTCAACTTTCTACAACTTTCTCTTTCAGTGGCCCCTTAAATAATCCTGAAAATGCGCCTTTTCCAAAAAAAATTGATTTGAGGGGTTTTACATAAAAAATAATACATTTACTGAAATCAGTACTTGGAGAACTACATGTCTACCAAGTTTCAGCCTTTCCGTTTGCCCTTTTTGCTGGTGCAAAAATATCTTTGGAAAAGGCAACCAACGAAATATCTGCGCCCTGAGGGCATGTATGACAAATTTTTAATTTTTTCTGATCTCAACATCACGTCAGTTACGCATGTGCCAAGTTTCCCTGATCTATTTCTACCCAATTTACTAGGAGAAATAAATTAGTTGAAAATGTCATCCCCAAAAATATGCCCTCAGGAGATGTATGGGACACTTGACATTTTTCCTGAACTCCGTATTTCAATATTCACCTTCATGTCAAGTTTCAGCTTTACATGTCCCTCCGTTGGATTTAAGCGAAAAAAAGGTTATTAAAAACATCCACCCCCAAATGACGTGCTCCCAGGACATTTACCTCCAACGTCGGAATTTTTCTGGACTCATCTTCCCAATAGGTACTTGCGTACCAAGTTTCATCCTTACATCATATACTGTATATAACATAGTTATAATTAGTGTCAGTCACTCAGTAACAATCGTTTATATATATTAGATGGGAAAACATGGGCAATATTAGCGACCGTTCATATTCCCTTTCATTTTTCCTGTTGAGAGATATACAAAAAAGTATTATGCTTAGTTTTGGGTATTTTCTTTCGTTACGCCTAATCCATTTTATTTCATGGAATTCTTAAGGTGTTCTTAATGAAATCGAAAAAATTATATTTTTAAATCTGAGCAATTTAAGAAAATTAGGTTAGGTTCGCCCAATTTTGAACCTAATTCCATTTGAAATAAAATTCATGTTTCAAAAATTGTATGTACTGATTAAACGGAAATGTAGTTTTCACCCAAAGTTGGAGGATTTGAAACAATTGGAAAAGTTTAGGCGAGATTACTTGAAATTATATTTTGAATGAATGTGCTCCATATCACCAACCATTGAGGAACGCTAATTCAGTTGATGACAGTGAATATTTAACGGGGTATTGGTTTGTATGAGGGAATAGTGCGAATGAAAGAATGCCCAAAGAAAGCATACAAATATCATGGGCTTTCGCGCCACTGATGTCGACTGGAGCAATTTATTAGGTCTGGGATAAAGTATCCGGAAGTTTTAGGGGGTTAAGCTTGGGGGGTTCGTGGTGCCACCCGACTATGCTTGTTCTGTCGCTATGTGTAACGGGCCGACGCCCTTCCAGTCGTGTCACGGCGCAACGGGCCACCGCCTTCCAGACATGTCGTCAGAGAAAGGAAAAGGAGGCATGGTGATTCAGGAGGCGGACGGAAGTCAGGGTGATAAGCTGAGGAGACAAGGGGAAAACGTATGAGGGGACATTATCTCAGGGATGCCGGAT